GAGGGGTTCAAAATAAAAGAAAAAACACTTGAAATTATTTCAACAAAAAGAAACATTATTTCAACTATTTTTAACTCTATCTTAAAACAAAGACATTAGGTTATGTGTAATACATATCCCTTTCTAATTCTTTAATAAATTACTGTACTTTAACAACAAAACTTCCTTTTAATCAAGAAGGACAAGTCTGCAACTCTATATATGATTAGTAAGAAAGGAAGGTTAGCGCCAAAAAACTGAGGCTTACCGCAAATGTAAAAAAACCCAGACTAAATATTCCTTGAATTTTTCAAGTAATCCACATTTCTTTTTCAATGTGGAAACTCACTGAACTTTCCACTTCTAACTATGCAACACAAGAAAGGCTTAACCATACACATTCATTTCAGTGGGAAGTGGTAAATACAAGAAATCTGAAAAATATTATTTCTCCCCAGTTCAATTAATTCCTATTCTGTAGCCATAAAGATACTGAAATTAAAGTAAGTACCTAAAACACTGTTTATTAACATAAAACTTAAAATAGGTCATTCGACCTTAAAAATCATATTATACCTTTAGAAAGTGGTAATTCTGCATTGTTTCCCTAGCGGCATGGTTTTGTGCTGAGTCATGCCCACCCTTTTCATGGCATCCCTTTCATAAATAAGATTCACTTAAAACAATGTCTAATTTTAGGGACAAACTCATGATATGACTAAATTGTTTTTCCTATAAAGCGCTAATCAACCTTAATTTAAAATGCATAATTAAGTCTCCACCAGATTGTTTTACTAGAATATTGTACTTTTGACAAACCAAAATGCCATGAATTGAGTATGATTCTTCTGCCTTCTCCTTTTCTCACCCTGTTATCTCACAGATCCTGAAGAGTTTTTCTACTGCTCATTCACACAGCTATCTGCATTACAAGATTTCAAGACCCTTTTTAGTCCTCAAGTTCTTACATGACCCAGGGGGTTCATGTGAAAACACAAGAGTTCCCTAAATTTGGAACAAGCCCTTATATCTTCCCTTGAAGTTTATGAAAGTAGGGTAGAAAATTCTACAATAGTTACATTAAATTCAATACCTTCTACAACAAAGTTTATCCTGAGTGAGATTATATAGATGTGGAATCTAATGAAAAGACAGAAGAGACATGTATACGAGGCTCTATAAAAACTGTATTTACACATGTGACGTGGGTGAAGAATATCCAACTAGATTTTTTAAAAAATAAAGGTAAACGTAATGTGATCAAACATAAAAATGTTTAGAGTTGGGATGTGCATCAGAAATGAATATTTGCAGTGAGCTGGAACACAGTTTAGGAATGATTTAACTGCTTACTCTGGAATAAACCGCGTTGGCATGCGTTTAAGAGAAAAGGTAGAACACAAAATGTAAAGCTATTTTTTTTTTTTGGGTGGGGGTTGGGGGGTTTGCCTGCTAACATCTACAGAATAAACCAATAGTCAAAATTTAAGTTAGCATCTGTTACCTAAAACTTTTTTTTTATGAATAGGATAACCATCTGGAATTAACCTTCTGGTCAAAATATCGTAATAGTGAGTCTTTCCATTTAAGACCATTTCACCTGACTGGTAGCAACAGGGTAGACGGCGGCTCCATGAATAAAAGGCAAAGGAAGAACCCTCTCAGACTCTTGGTGGGTAAGAGCTCACTCATAATCCATGAAAGGAGAGGTTACGTTAAAACAGTGTTAACAGGAGCATGGAGAAGTATCAAAACCATCGCAGGAAAACTTCCACGGGAGGAGGGGGCCCGTCCAGGCTGCGCAGAGGCACGGAAAATGCCTTAGGCACACTGCTACCCATTTCACAGCCTGCATGAGTGGGAAAGGATCGGCCAGGGAATCACTTTCCCATCACCAGCCCTTTCATGCTATTTGATTTCTTTATCGTCATTAAATATTTAATGTTTTTCAACATTACATTCAAGGTGATGGCACTTATTTTCATTTTCAATGTCAGCAAATTACTTATAATTATAGTTAAGAATTATAACTATTCATAATCATGCATGTAAAAAGCTATATAAATCTTGGAAATCGTATATTTATAATTAAATGAAATCTCCTTTTCATGTGCTTTTGAAGTTCACGTGCTTTATTTTTATTTGTTTAAATATTTTAGTATAAAGCCAATGCCACGCTCATGCTGCTTGATTCGTCTGTAGGCTTGCCCAAATTTGCCAAAACCCTGCAACCACTGGATGAATATATGACTGTAGAAAAATGCATTTAAACCACGAGAGATACAGTCTGCAGAACCAACAAAATGAGCATAATTACCTGCTGCGGGATCTGTAACTGCCTGGCTGGTGATGCCAGATGGTGGTTCTTGAAGCTGGTAGGTGGCATTTGTCGAAGGTGTGGTGGGGCTGGTGTTGCTGCTCGTCATGTAATGCGCTGGATACGGTGAGCTGTTATAATACTGTGCGTACTGGCCCTGGCCAAAACTGGGGTAAGACGGATAGTCCTAGCAAATCAAACCAGCAAGAATCATCTGTCAAAAAGTATGGCTGCTTATTTCTTATATTGCAAATAAATCTGTGCTCCTGAATTTACATAGGAACACACAAAGCTCCGTTGACTGAAGTGCTCAGACTTACAAATGAGTTTTATGTAAGACCAGAACACTCTTCACATTTCTTCTATGTGCCATGATGCACTACTAGGTAAAATTAAACCAACCCCAAAACCAAATAACACACCAGGTAAGACTATTAAAGAGATATTAAAAGAAGAAAAAAACTATTAAAAGGCTTAGAAAAGCTCTCACTTATAGTGTCCTATAAATAGATTCTTTTTCATATAAAGAAATCATCTGTGCATTTTTAAAATTTCAGAAGTTAAATTAGCTTTTAAAATTACCTGCTGTGAACTGTTAAATCCAGAGGAATTTGTGAGTGAATTATTTCCTGTATATAATCCTGATGATGTTGTAAAACTGCTACCTGAAACAAAATGAAAAGAAATAGGCTGACTAAGCTTCGTAGAATCGCATGCCTACAGGAAATTATTACTTAGACAAAGCAGGATTGGAGTTCACTGCTAATGTATTTGGTTTCTCTTCAGAACCAGAATCCATTGCCATGGCTAAAATTGCATTTTCTTAAAATGGCTGACAATTTTAGTTTTACCATATTACAAAGAACTAAAATGTAAGGAGGTTTAAATTTGTGATGAATGAATAACCCATGTAAACTATTATACATTTGTGCAAAACTACTAGACACTGAGCTTTCCATTTCAATTAGCAAAACACAACAGGATTTTCCCCATTTTACATTAAGTATGCTTAGTAAAATGATGGAACAAGATTAGGTGACAGAGTTCCTGCAAGCCCCAAAACTATGTTGTTATTTCCAATAACTTAAGGAGCTTATACTTATCCTAATGGCCCACTGAAAAAGTTGACTATTTCATCTCACAGAAGAATGAAAGGTAGCACTTGAAGTATTTGATAAAACAGAGGTCAGAGAGGAACATGACCAATGCTTTATTATTACACTAGAGGCCCAGTGCACAAAATCCGTGTACTTGAGGGCCCCTCAGCCCAGCCTGCACCCTCTCACAATCTGGGAGCCCTAGGAGGATGTCCCACTGCCATGGAGGCAGGAGAGGCTCCTGCCACCACCACTGTGCTCACCAGCTGTGAGCCTGGCTTCTGGCTGAGCGGTGCTCCTCCTGTGGGTGTGCACTGACCGCCAGGGGGCAGCTCCTGTGTTGAGCATCTGCCCCCTGGGGGTCAGTGCACATCATAATGACCGGTTGTTCTGCCATCAGGACGAAACCAGCTTTCTGACATCCCCCAAAGGGTCCTGGATTGCAAGAGGGCACAGACTAGGCCAAGGGACCCCAACGGTGCACAATTGGAGCTGGGGAGGGATGTGGGAGGTTGGCCAGCAGGGGAGGGACCAGAAGAGGGCTCCAGGGAGTGTCCGACCCATCTCGCTCAGTCCTGATTGGCTGGACCCCAACAGCAAGCTAACCTACGGCTCTACTGTCTGCCCCCTGGTGGTCAGTGCACATAATAGTGAGTGGTTGAGCAGCATTAGCATATCATTAGCATATTATGCTTTGATTGGTTGAACGGCCAACTGGACGACTGGACACTTAGCATATTCGGTTTTATTACATAGGATGTGCTAGGTTAACATTCTACGTATCAAATGTCTACACATGTTCAACAATAAATGGTAAGCGATGTGCAGGATATAAACCTAAGAGCCAATCTTAGTTCTGTCTCTCACTTTACTTCCTATCCTCCAACAATATACAGCAAAGCAACAATATACTAATTTCAAGATCATATTGAAAAAGATTTTGGAAATGACAAGATCAAGGACAAGCAATTTTATAAAAGAGGGCATTTATACACTGCAAAATGGGAAGTTAAACAGGTAAACCCATTCTGTTGAGCTATTTGGTCAATGATTAAGAAATGTTGGCCCTTGGTCAGTGTGGCTCAGTTGGTTGAGCATCATCTTGTGCACCGAAAGATCTCTGGTCAATTCCTGATCAGGGCACAGGCCCAGGTTGTGGATTCAGCCCCCGATCTGGAAGCCTATAGGAGGTAACTGATCAATGTTTCCCTCCCTCTCTCCTTCCCTCCCTCTGTCCCTTTCTCCGCTTCTCCCTTCCTCTCTAAAATCAATAAAAACATATATTTAAGAAAAAGAAATTTTGGCCCCAGCTGGAGTGGTTGAGCATTGACCTATGAACCAGGAGGTCATGGTTCGATTCCTGGTTAGGGCACATGCCCAGGTTGCGGGCTCAATTCCCAGTGTGGGGCATGCAGGAGGCAGCCGATCGATGCATCTCTCTCATCATTAATGTTTCAATCTCTCATACCCTCTCCTTTCCTCTCTGAAATCAATAAAAATATTTTCAAAAAGAAATTTTGTATACCATTTAACCCAGGAATTTTATAGCCAGATATTTACCCTAAGAAATAAATATGGATTTATGCAAAAAGATAGTGAAGACGTTCTTCAGTGTTGTTCCTAATAAAGGAACATAGAAAGCATCCCCAAGTTTGTCATAGGTGTTAACCAGAAAACAGAACACTATGAAGCCATTTGAAGGGTATTATAATGACATTCAATGACGTGGGGAAAACTTTTCATACTATTTTGCTAAAGTAAACACTAAAACAACAAAAATATTTTTTGGTGATCTCACTGGAAATATTTTTAAAAGAATAAAACTTTTTCTTTTATTTTTTAATTAAATTTATTGGGGGTGGCCTTAGTTAATATGATTATATAGATTTCAGTGTATAATTCTATGATACATGATCTGTACATTGCATTGTGTGTCCACCACCCAAACTTACATCATCTTTGTCGCCATATATTTCACCCCCTTTACCTTTTACTATCCCCTTAACTCCCTTCCCTCAGGTAAACATCACATTGTCGTCTGTGTCTAAAAGCACAAGACATTTTTAAAAACCACAGGAATCTCAGAAATGTTATCTATGGAGAGGTACAATCATTGGTTGCATAATATTCATAAAGCCAATGTATATTTTTAAATGTTCTACTCCGAGCTGTGTTGCTTCTGTCAATAGAAAAACCATTTTTAAAAAATAAAAATTTTATGGCAAATGACGGTATAGGCAATAAATGTGTTGGCAGTTCAATGAGAAAGCTCAATGTGAATGAACTATTCACAGATGCCCCAGATATGATGTAGTAACCACAATATGCCAATTATGTACTTGCTACTGAACATTTAAGTGCTGGTTTAAGAGCCAGAAAACAAAGTTTCCAGTTGATCACTTAGGAGCTGTTTGGATTTTGGACAAATCACCTAATCCCTCTAAGATATAATCTCCCTATTGGCAAAAACTCTACTTCATAGGGTTTCTTAAACAGATCAAATGAGGTAATGTTTTGGAAAGCAAAGTCAATAATCTACAGTCTCAACAAATGTTAGGAACGGTTGTTATTTATTCCAGCAAACATTTCTAACATTCTCCACTGCATTTATGTATCTTTTCTCTCTTTTTACTTTCCTAAACTAGATAAACATGACTTAATCTCTTTGCATATCTAAAATTCTTTTCCTACTTATCAAGCATCTCTGAACTTTGAAAACTCAGTCCAAAAATTTGTTATTTTAATTAAGAAGGGAAAATATTTCCTAAGATTGTTTTAAATTTAGTTATCACACAGACTCATATTGGAGGATTTTTTTTTTCATTTGTATCTTTCATGAATACTGTTCAAAATTCCCAGCACACCCACCTAGCAAAGATAAGCAGAGAGCTCTCTCACTGCTAAAATGAATGCCACCATGAACATCAGGGCCTCGGGAGACAAGATCCGTTATTAATGTTCATTTTCATGTGGCGATCTCATACTTCTTAATCATATTAAACACTGGGCTCATGGTGACAATTACATGGGGATAAAAAGATGACTAAGCCATAGTCTTGGACCTCACAGGGCTTCCCAGGATAACATCAGTTTAGTTTTGTTTTCATAAGCATCGAACCAAGTGAGCATATGACTCATCATGTTTTTACATATCAGTGAGCAATTAATATATGATCTATAAAGCAAACTTGTAATGAGCTTTTTAAAATTCCTTGAAAACATTTTTTTGGATAGAAGTGGGACTATCAATGCCTTTTTAATAAACTTTAACTATTTTATACATTTGGTAGGAAAAATTACTTTGAGTTATGACTTGTACTTGCGTTTAAACTCCACATTTTTAGGTTATGACTTGCTACTTTCGTTTGTACTATACATTTTCTAACAATAAATACTGACCTCAAAAATTCCTATCCACCAAGAAAATGAACAAGATATAGAAAATATATTTTAAAAATGGATGTTTTCATTCCGTAAGTTATTCCCTGGAACACGGCGGAAAAGACCATGGAAGCTATATTGGCACATGCAGGCCACTGAGCTATGACCAAGTAAATCACAGCTCAGTACTCCAAATGGCACCCAAGGGACTGCCCAGACTTCATGCTCCTTCCAAGCCTGCACATTAGCGGGAATCCAGCATAAGTTATACTCATTTACTGGCCGACTGGGGGCTGGATTCCATTCCGTTTAGTATGCTGAGCAGGCATTTAATGGCACTCAGCAGCCCAGGAGGCAAAGCAACTTCCAAAGGATCCAACCTCGGGGAGAGGTGTACATACGATAGAACCAGCCTCAGGCAACACAGATTTTCACCAGCAGAATCCAATCTGCAGGCTGCCTGCCTTCATGTAGGATGCAGGCACAGAGAGCAGCTAGCGGTTGATCCAGGCCACCAGCAGCTGGCGGAAGGGTGCGGGGAGGGGCGGGGAGCTGTGACAGCCTCCTTTCCTGGCTTCCTGCCCTCCTCTGGCCCCTCCAGTTCGTTCTCCACAAAGGCAGTGCCATACTTTCTCTAATGCGCATATCTCATCTTCTCACTCCCCTGCTTAACAAAGTAACAGTCAAGGGTTCCCTATTGCTCTCAGGATAAAATTCCAACTCCTTACCAGGCCTCCCTATCGAGCCCTGGTCTGGCTCCAGTTTACCTCTTGGGCTTCTTTGGTTTCTTCCCAGGAACCCCAACCCCAGCCCACCCAGATACACATTCCAACACTAGTGAAGCAACATGCGGTTCTCTTAAGGCCACTCCTTCCCATGGTATCCTGCTAATTTCTTATGGGCCTCAGCATTTCACAATTCAGCATGGACAGGAAACCTCTTTCCTCAAAAACACCTCCCTTGCATCCCTGCATTCCCGTCTTCTCCCCTTGCTTCCTAAACCTGGATTATGAAGTCAATTAATCAATCAACCAATTATTTCTATCTCTGTGATATGTATTTCTTATATATATATTTACATACATAAGTTACTAATCAGTATTTAAGCTAATGTGTACTAATTAACAATGGACTAACCAATTAATACGAATTATCTAAACCTAATTATATCTAATTAGTCCTCTCAC